GTTTTTTCGAGACAAGGTTTCTCTGTGTAGCTTTGCGCCTTTTCCTGGAACTCACTTGGTAGCCCAGGCTGGCCTCGAACTCACAGAGATCCGCCTGGCTCTGCCTCCCGAGTGCTGGGATTAAAGGCGTGCGCCACCACCGCCCGGCTTCTTTGGTTATTTCTTATTCTTCATTTTGGATTCATGTGTGTCTGTTCAAACCTGATGTTGCTATTTCTCTCAGAAGTCTCCTCTGTCTCCCCCAGAATCAGTGTGAGGAGACACAGTGTGGTACACCCCCACCAAATTCCCTTATTCATTCAACACTCAGTCATTCATTCAGCGTTTCTGACATGATAGCCACTGTGTTAGCCTGAGAATACAGCTGTAAACAAAAGTATCCACAAGCCCTGCTCCAAGGAGTATACAATCTCATGAGAGACATATGATGATCAATGTAACATAAACAATTACACAAACAAGCGAGTAATTGCAGACCATGATTCATGCTATGGAAGAAAGGAGCATATAGCACAAGAATACCCACACAATTATGAATGAATATGAACTTTAGCCCCATCTTCTTCAACAGAAGGGCGGGAGACATCAGAACAGGTTGTAGGGATTGGTTTCTGAGTTCAAAATCTTAGGATTACATGTATGAGTGAAGATTTGAAGACTGTTTAAGATGGAGGGGAAAGACCTGTAGTCACAGCATTTGGGAGGCAGAGGCAAGAGGATCAGGAGTTCAAGGCCCTCTTCAGCTGGGTTAGGTGAGGCCCCATGTCAAAACAAAACAAAACATCATAAATAGGGGACAGCACATAAAAATGAGGTAGAGTAATTTTTTTTCCCGAAACAGGGTTTCTCTGTGTAGCTTTGCGCCTTTCCTGGGACTCACTTGGTAGCCCAGGCTGGCCTCGAATTCACAGAGATCCACCTGGCTCTGCCTCCCGAGTGCTGGGATTAAAGGCGTGCGCCACCACCGCCTGGCAAAAAATCATTCTTGATGCAGTGTAGAGAATGGATTCGAAAAGGTGTGAGCAGGTGCAAGGTTTTTTTATAGTATTCTAGGTGGGAGAGGTTTATGGATTGGGCATGGGGGTGGGAGTGGTCTAGTCTGAGGTATTTAGAAGGAAGTGAGGTAGAAAAGCCTAGGAAGAAATTACTTATCTAATGCTCTCTTCTGGCCTCACGCCAATCCTGTCCCTTTACCCCATCCATCCCAGTCACTCTTCATCCAGATGACTATTTCTGAAAGTGTTGCCCCAGGGGGGTTTCTTGGAAGACCACAAAGCTGTCTAGATGTAAGTCCTTTTGGGGACTTTTATAAGCAAACAATGCAAAATTCCAGACCTTTTTTTTTTTTTAATGATAACCAACTGAGTTATAAAGGGGTACTAAAATTTGTTAGTCATAAACTAAAATTAGCTCTTAACTGGAGTTCACAGAAGACTCTAATTTGGTTTTCTACTCCGAAGTCTGGCTGCCAGGCAATGTTTGGCAACGCTGTGAAGCTCCTGCACATAACACACACAGCTAGCTGGCATGCTCACCATTTTTAGGAAGGGCAGTTTGTTATTGAGGCATTACCAGTGATGTTTGGAGCTGGTCATGGTTTATGGTGCCTGGCATTCATGCATTTTAATTACAAATTATGATTCATGAAGTGCCATCATGACTGATTTAATATGGTGTGCGTTATTTGATTAACGCTGGGGGTAAAGTCGAGAGAGGCAAGAGACACCTCTCTGACCTCATCCCTACTACTTGCCTGCCTTCCTCGCTGACCCAGAACAAGGAGTGGGGCCCAGGCTCAGGAGCTTTACACTTGCTCTGCCAACCGTCTGGCAGGCTCCTCACTGCCCACCCCCAGTGATGCCATACCTCCTGCCTCTCCTGAAGGTCTTCGCTCTGTTGATGCCTCTGTGAGGCAGAGTCTGAACACTTTATTTAATTATAATCATCTGACTCCGAACGTATAACTACATCCCCCGATTTGTGTTTCTTCTTGGCACCGTCTTCCATTTCCATCGAACACACCACATTTTACTTATTTATCTGTTGACAATTCCCCTCCACGTGGTGTGTGTGTGTGTGTGTGTGTGTGTGTGTGTGTGTGTGTGTGTGTGTGTGTGAGAGAGAGAGAGAGGGGGGGGGAATTTCTCTCTGTGTCACCAATACCTACGACAGTCCCTGGCACGGAGTACACAGCTCATCTGTAATTACTGCATAAGAAGGAGTAGTTACCTCACGAGGATTTTTCAACCTCTTAGTCCCTTCCACCCATCTCCTAAGCCACAGATGAACATAGTTCAATCCAATCATTCACAGCCCTGCCTGCTGCCAAAGCAGCCACACACACGCAGGAGCCCAGAAGAGCATGTTTACACATGCATTTCCATGTTACCAGGTCCCACTAAGCTCCCTGTTATTATTAGTTCCATCCAGGCTTACTCCTTCCTGCCTATCAAACACACTCGGATGAAAACTCCCAAAGACAAGCTCATGCATTCAGATTAATATTCAACCAGTTTCTTTTCAGAATTAAACATATGCAAGGTTGTATCCAAGAAATGGAGAGCAGCAATGAAAAGAATATAGATTTGAGCTTTGCCACAAAAGAGTTTATACAGTGGTCTGTTTCCAGAAAGTGGACTTAGTCCTTTATAGGAAAGTATGAATACTGTGTTGAAACTTGACAGACACACAAGAAAGAAAAGGGAAATTTAGGGCAGGGCAAAGTGAAGCAGATGGCAGCAGATGGGAAAGACTGTACCAGCCACAAACCTGAAGGAGAAAGAGAGTGTGGATGTCACTCCGCAGGGAGAGGGCAGGTCAGTGTACTGATGGGAGAGTTTTCATGCAGCTAGTGATAAGTCGGAAGTGGACTGGGTAGCAATGAGCAGCCCATTCGGGGCTGTCTGGGCCCTATGAACCACCCCAGTTAGCCTTTTGAGACGTTGAGAGCAACAGGAAATACTAAAAAGTGAGGCAGGCTATCAAGAGCGTGCATTGCTCTTGCAGAAGACTGAGTTTGATTCCCAGAGCCCACCTTGGGTAGCTAGCAACCATCTGAAATTCTAACTCCAGGGGTATCTGATGCCTCTGGCCTAAGCAGACACACACACACACACACACACACACACACACACACACACACACACACACACATAAAAAAGAAGAAAGTACTAAAAGACCTGATCAGTGGTGTGACATGGACTGAAAGTTTAAGTTTCTTTCTGTCCTCTAATTATCCCAATCCTGACCTTTCCTCACCACTGTGGCCTTCCGAGTCCTATTGTCCTCCTCTCTGAAGCCTCTCTACTGCTCCAACCTGCATGCCTTTTTCTCCTTCGGCCCCAGGAATCCTTCATCTTTCTGCTATCTGTTATACTGGGAGACAGAGAAAATGTCTCAAGCATGTCCAGTACTCAGCATACTTTAATACTGATCTAAATTGAGTTTCACCGAGACAAGACCATGATAAACACACACACTAGTGTTTGTAGTGTACTGAAATACCCCTTCCCTCCAGAAGACGGCGCTGGTGTGTGCAGGGCCCTTTGACCTAGGTTGATCTCCGGACCTATCTGTTGTCAACTCTGCTTTCAACTTCACATAACAAGTCATTGATGTTTCCCCTAATGAGACTGGAGACACTCATCCTGTTAAAACTACAAGTTGCTACAAAAAATTCATTTGTGGTGAGAAAGCAGACTAGTGGTCAGGGGGTAGGGGACAGGGAGCGCAAGTGGACTAAGGCACAGAGAATTTCTTGTAATAGAGGACATATTCTATATTTTAATTGTATCTGTATAAGTGTCCAGCTCTTATACATACAAAAGGATCACATAAAAGATCCATTTATATATATATATATATATATATATATATATATATATATATATATATATATATAATAACTGGCTAGACATTGGTCATTTCAAGTTAAAACAGACTGCCTATGAACTAAGGGCCAGTTGCCGTAAGCACACTACAAAAGTTTCAAAACACAGCTCAGTCTCAACATGGGCATGGCCAACACAAGAACAGAATAACCTCTCAATGGCTACAGAACTCTAAGAATGATAGGTTCTTCAGCTGTAGGTGGCCAGTGTAAGAGAAGCAGAGGGCACAAGGTTCATATGCAAAAATATGTATCAACATATGTAAAGCCACAAATATCATGGATACAGATTTGCTCTCCAGACCTCAACACACCTAGGCTTAAGTGTAGAAAAGTTTGGAGGGAGAAAAAAAAAAAAAGAAAAGCCCTGATAGTTAGAAAAGCAATTTCTGAAAGACAGAGTTTTTATATCCCAGCATGCTTCTTGAGAACCCGAGATTAGCTTGTCATCTGTGGTGATGCTGCGGGGCAGGGGTGATTCCAAGCTCTGGTGAGAAGGATGTCATCTGGCCAGATGACACAGACACAACATTCACATGGCTGAGTGGGCGAGAGGCTCATAGGGAGGCGACTTGTGTTTGAGGGCCAGGAAGATGGGTGGGAAGAGGGTCTTTCTGGAAACTCGCTCTCTGACTTCTCTAAACTCCCGCACACGACCTGTTTCTTCTCTCTCTCTCTCTCTCTCTCTCTCTCTCTCTCTCTCTCTCTTTTGGGGGTGGTGGTGGTCATATTTCTTGTACAGTCCTCTCTTGTGCCCCCTCTCTGAGCTCCCACATGACAAATGGCCCCTTGTCCCCACACTCAGCTCAGCACTAACCACGCAGCAGGGTGTTGGACAAAGTCCTTAGGAACGAGAATGAGAAGGCGATGGGGAAAGGATTGGAGGGAGGCGGGTGGGAGGGCTGGGGGGGGGGTGTGGACTGGACAGGCTGGGTCTGTGAAGTGAAGCGGTGGAAATAATAAGGAACACAGATGCAGTTAACAGTCAAATGGCAGAGGGTTCAGGAAAATATGGGCGAGGAGGACAGGATTTGTGAGAGAGAGAACAGGGAAGAATCGGCGGTTAAGGTCAGAGGTCACCAGAAGACCGCAGGCCACAGTATGACATTACCTGCTTACGAGTCTGTTTCTGGGGCATTGTTGCAAAAAAATAGAAAACACCTCAAACCCTGAAAAAAAAAAACCTGCAAAACGCTCCCTCTCCTGGGGAGAATTTTCTCCTTCTTGACCACACACGAGGAATGCAGACTGCCTTCCACTTCAATTCCCGGTTACCAGGGTGCTTCAGGGACAGCTGTCGTTGTGGGTCCCCGCGCCCTTGTAGAACAGCGTCGGCTCCTCCCTGACGCGGTTACCCAGCAACCGATAGGCAGCCAAAGCGCAGGCGCGCCCGGCGCCCCCTCCCGGCACGGGGAGGAGGCGGCGCAGGGTGCGCAAGGATCCTCTGGCTCCGCTCAGCCCCGCCCCCGCCGCGAAACCACGTCCGCCCGCCGCGCGCACTGGGAGCTCCCGCAAGTGGGCAGGGCTGGGGCGCCCAGGCACCGCCTTCTCATGAATAATGCAGGATCCGGGCGGTGTCCCGGACCCGGAAGTGGAGTTGCAGAGTCACCGCAGTGGCTGAGCTGCTGACAGGAGGCGGCGGCGGAGGAGGAGGCGAGGCAAGACCTGCGGCTCCGCGGGGCCACTGCCGCGGTAGCTCTAGGCAACCCCACGGAGCTTACGCCGGCCCCAGTCAGCCCGCGAGCCTCTCGCCGCCTGTCCGTCCTTCCATCCGCTTTTTCGCCCTACGGGTCCGGGGCGGCCTAGTCTGCATCATCTGCCGGGCTTCTGGGGCCGCCGCCCCGCGCGGTCCCGTCGGCGTCCCTGGCCGCGCCCGGCCCCTGGCCCGCTCGCCCACCGGCACCATGATGGAGGAGATCGACCGGTTCCAGGTGCCCACCGCGCACTCGGAGATGCAGCCGCTGGTGAGGGGGCGGGCGGCGGGCAGGCCAGGGCCGGGAGGGGCGCCGCCGGAGAGGAGGGAAGGAACTAGGCCGTGGGGATTGTGCGAGGGGGCGCCATCTGATAAGGCAGGGGGAGCCGTGAAAACGCATTGCCGGGGGAGGGAGTCTTGCAGAGGGAGAAAACCGTGGGGGGGTTACCTGCGCTGAGAGCGAAGGACCTGGAAGGGCGGAGGGCACGGTCAGCGTAGGCAGAACGCCGTCGGATAGGACCGAGGGCAGCCCGATAGTGCACACCGCTAGTGGGGTGATCGAGGGGGATGTCACTGGGTATCTTTGGCAGCAGACCCAGGGGATCGGGATGGGGGTGGGTGAGAAAGGCGTTTAGCCCTCGAGGCCTGTGATGCTCAGGACGAGGGAGGAGGCCAGGAGATCGGCCAGTCTAAAGAGGACTGCAAATAGGCTTTTAGAAAAGGAGAGGCCTGCTCGCCAGTCCTTTATATAAATAGCAAAGCTGAATAGGAACCAGGCACCGATGGGAGCAGAGGTTCGGTGCAGGACCTGGGAATTCCCTTCTTCTAGAAAGAGGAGCGCCCCCAGTTCAAGCTGGGGGCATCTGGAATCGGGAAGGGGAAGAGTGTGCAGTGGCGAGATGAAGAATCACGGGTGTCCATGAGAACACTAAGGTACCTCCAAGAATAGGAGGTGGAGCTGTGCTGGAGCAGCCTGTGCGGACCGGTTCGGAATTCGGAAGAGCCCTTGTCATCTTAGGCCTACGTGCTTGGAGTCTTTGCAGGGCGGGGATCCTGCCTCCGGTCCGCGGTCCTGGAGTCAGGCAGGAATGATGTCATCGATGCCGGCGCCGAGGGGATGGAAGGGGGGGAGGGTGATGCCGGTTTGTGGAGGCATGGCCTAAAGAAGACGATGCCTGCTGGCCATTGCCCTAGGGCTACCTGGCTGTCATTGCTGCCCGAAAATAGGTAGGAAGGTGAGAGGCCTAACCAGCTGGAGAGAGAAGGGAGGGGGAAAGAACGCTGAGGCTTCATTAACCCACCTTGGAGCCTGCGCTGCAAGAGCTAAGAGGAGGCAGGATAGGCCAGGAACCAAAATGTGCAGATGCCTTTTGCTCTCTGCTGGCCCTGACGTGTGCTCTCACTTAAGCTCAGGGGCTCCCTAAGTCCCTTCCCTCTGTGTTAGTCAGAGTGGGCCAGAATAGGTTCTTCTCCTGAGCCTGCAGCTTCAGAATTGACAGTATGCTTTGTGGTTTCCTAGACAAATAACTTGCCTGTTACAGTAACCAAGATGGACCAAGGTGCGAAGGTGGGAAGTATGGATCTCCTTTCCACACTTGTACATTTTGTGAAGCTGAAACAGACGGGCTTTGTAGAAGTGTGCAATATTGAACCTGTAGATGTGCTGCAAGACTTTGGATGCTACTACTGAATTATTTGGGAACCAGAATATCCCCAGGGAGAAGTTTATTCTATGAAGGTTAAAAAAAAAAGGACCTTAGCTGGGTTAGACCTTTGCTTAATAGGTTCCCTATTCAGCTAACCTTGCCTCCAAACTAGGGTGCAGTGCCCTTCCAGTTCTAAGCTACTCATGTGTGGAGGCGGGGATGTAAGGGGCGGAGGTTCTTGTAAGTCTAGGAAAGGAGTTGGTTCTTGTTTCTCATCTGAGGTTCCTGAGATGGTATCTGTCCACGGAAAGAGAAGACTAAGGCCGTCAGGATTGTGCAGTTGTCCTTGGTGACTCTGCTATCTCCTGGGATTCTTTCCTAATCATGGGTGGAAGACTCCTGAGCTGTTTTGGTTTGTGAGGCCCTGAAGAAGAGACGTTTGTGGTGAGGAGGTGCTTATTAGAATAGCTGTAGCTGCCCACACCCTTTTTTGAAAGCTAAAGTAGTCTGCAAGAGAATACTGTGTTGAGGTTGAGTGAATCTTAAAGAAGTAACAATATAGTCTAACACTTGGGGGGCATAGACATTCCCCTGTCTCTTGACTCTTCCTATATTGGAGTCTAGAGACACCCCAGACTTCTTAAGTGCCCTTTATTCTGTTGAAAACAGCAGAATGTTGTGTGACGTTTCCCCCAAGGACCTTCATTGAGTCATAAGGAATCAAGATGCACACCTGTGGGAGGGAGAGGGCAGGATGGTTCTGTAGGGGTGTTTGGGGGGAGGCCATCAAAACTAGGGTCCCAGGCTCAAAGTCACCTGTGATCTCTTCCATTTTTTGCTATTATTTATAGTGACCTCTAGGAAGTCTGGCATTCTCCTTGAACTGTTTTTCCATTTACAAAATGAAGACAAACTGTTCATTTAATGTTTAAACAATAGTTCCTCATTCTCCCTTCCAAAGAATATCACGGAGCCTGATATAGTGACTCAGAAAATTGATTTACCAAATACTGAACATCTGCACTGTTCCAGATTCTACACAAGATATCAAGGACACAGTGGTTAGCCATGTAAGTTCAGATGGGGCCCTGCCCTGCTGGAGCACACCATTCAGTAAAAGCTTGTTTCTCTTGCTCACTCCATGAGTGAGCTTCCTTAGGGCAGAATAGAGTCTGCCTCCTTAGACCACAAGAAAAGATGGAAGCTCCAGTATTGGCCTCATTGCCCCCTTCAGGACCTGGGAGTACGGACAGAGGTCTGTGTCTTGGATCTCATCATCAGATAACCCTCCCCCAGAAGAAGCATCTTTTTCTTTATTTTTACTTGAAGGAGAAACTCATCTTGAAACAGAGGCTTGGGGGAGTGGCAGCACTTGAGAGAGAAGGTGCAGCCAGTAGATCTGGGTGTTTCCAAGGTGCTAATTTAAGCATTAGCTCTCAGCTAGTGGGAGGCAGAGGAAGAAATCCCTGCCTTGTTGTTGCTGCTGCTGTTACCACAGCTGCCTGGAGCCTCCTGTCTGGGGCGGGAGTTTGCCCGAAAGGAGTGGCTCCCTTCTTTCCCTATCAGGCCAATTATTTAATTGGCCTGGCTGCATCTCAGCAGCTGAACCAGGTCCCAGCCTGTCTCTGAGCTCCCCAGGGTCTCTTCTTGTCTCCTTAGGAAGGAAATGAGAGCTCTTCTTGGTGATCTATTCCCTGGGCTCTGCTCCTGCTGTGTCTGTCTTCCAGAAACTTTGGAATGGCCCATTTTGTGGGCCAGCTCTGCCATACACCTCACTAATCCTGGGGAACTCCCTGCTGCCCAGGCTCTGTTGGGCTGTCATTGGTATGAGTGGCAGCGGGCACAAGCCCTCTGGCCTATTATCTGTTCAGCTGGTTGGTTCAGCCACACAGTCTACGTCTTGGAAGAGATTTGTTGCAAAAAAACAAAAACAAAAACAAAAACAAATAGAGCTTTTGAGTACTTAATTTCATCAAGCAACACTCTGCCTCTGGTGCAGTCAGAGGCATAAGAGACTTACAGAATGGCATATGGCAGCTGATGTGGTCCCTGCACACTTGAGAGAATGCTAGTCTAGCCTCACTGAAACCAGATTACCCATTAACTCATTTGTTTAGTTCATGAGCATTTGCTACTACATCTGCTCAGTTCCTGGTACTTGAAGGATACAGAGACTGGTCAAGGCTCTGCTTGTGGGTCTCCAGGAGAAGGATGGGCTCGAATGCTGACAGGAAGGTTTATAGATATATGTCAGAATGAGTAGCAACGCGTGGTGATCCTGAGAGAGCCTGAGAACGCTGCCATCCTGACCCTTTGACCGTTGGAGCTGGAAGAGGGGTTTACGGCTTCTGTTGCCTGCTGACTGTAAGGGATGGAGAGTGACAGGGTGTCAGCTCAGTGACTGAAAGTGGAAGAGGGAGTGAGTGTCACAAGGACAGGCAGTCCGCACTGGGGAAGACCCTCTAAGTTGTCCCTTGTGCGGTTGGAGGTTGAGATGTCAGTGGGAGGCAGGGAAGAGATGATGGGGCCCCGAGCTAAAGCAGATGCCCAGAGGGGAGGACAGATGTGAGTAAAATGCAAGGGCAGGATATGGAGCCTCTTGAGAGGTGGGCTGGAGAGCTGGACAATCAGAGGGGACTCCAAGGTTTCTGATGTAGACATTTGGATGGAGGGAGGGACCACCACCAACCACCTCAGGAAATGTGGAAGTTGTGCCCTTGCTTCAGGGACTTCTTGTAGTAGAGAAGGTGTCTCTTTTCCTTGCTCAACTTCTGAGATTATGAGGAACTCAGAAGTTCTAGAAAACCAAACATGATAACAATGACCCCCCCAGCTTCATAGGGTCACAGAGTATGTGCTCCTCTGAATATTTCTCCCTTGCAGCCTACTTTACTGAGTACAGAGCATTGCTGGTAGCAAGAAACCACAGTGGGGTTTTCTAGACGGAGTCTCATGTTACCCAGGGTGGCCTCAAACTCAGTAAGTTGCTAAAGATGATCTTGAACTCCTGACCTTCCTGCCTCTGCCTCTGTAAGTAGCTGAGGATATATATCACAGTATAGACAAAGGTGACTTTGAACTTTGGATCCTCCTTGCTCTACCCTCTAAGTGTTGGGATTCCAGTAGAATCTGAAGTCCTCTGGCCTGACTTCTCATTATCTATTTGGTTAAACTTACGGTTTTATTTCACTGGTTTATTCTACCATGAATGTGTATATGTCACAGCATTATCTGCAAGAGTCACAAGAGGAAGGACATATGCCTCCCTTTTCTGAAAGTACGTCATATATTCTGCAAGCTGTGTTGAGGTAAAGCTTGGGTCTACTTCCTTGCAGGCAAGGGGGGCCAACAGACTTCCCTGGTGAGAACACTTACAGGTGGCTTGGCTTCTCAGAGGTCCCCAGTGTGGCTCTGCAGCAGGTAATCCCATGGTAGCTGGTGTTCAGGCTGAGACAGTCACAGGCCCAAGCAACCCACTGCCCTTAACTGCTGCTAACCCTGTGTGAAAAGAAATGGAAAGTAGAGACTTCTTACCTTGAACCTCATTAGCTTCTGGGCCTGCTCTCCTCTGGGAAAGGGCAGATGGAGGGCCAGGGCTGTACCTCAGTCGGTAGAGAGAAGAGCC